TGTATCATCTGAACCATTCCTTATGGTTTAGGCAGGAAATAAATCTGCTCATTCAGTTCTGTCAGTTTGTTGATGTTTGGCCTCAGTGACTGAGCAGTTGAAACCTTCAGGATTGCAGCAAGGTGTGCGTCAGATAGTTGTGTTCGGTATTTTGACTTGTTTATATTCATTGTGGAAAAAAGTGATGCTGCCTCCATGGCTGACTCTGCCCAGCAACTAGTGATGGTATCTCTGTCCCTCTCCCCCAGCCAATGGGAGCTGCGAGGGGCAGCGCCTGCAGCAGACATTGCTGGCAGCGTGTCTGCATGCGTCTCTCCTCTGTGGGCCACAATGGGGAGGTTCTCAGACCGCAGATGGCCTGTGGGCCGGGACTTTGAGACCCCTGCTCTAGAGTACTGTGCAGTAATTTCCCCAAATATTCCAGCACAGCAACTGTAAGCTGTGGTGCATTGGACCACTCCTGTGCAATCGGGCAGTACATTTCCTATGGGCGATTTTGCTGACAATGAAGGGTCATTTTGAGTTAGGCTGTTGTGCCAGGTGGTTGGATTTAGCTGCTGTTCCAAGTCAGGTTCCATTCAGAAGGCTACATCTTCAGTAAGTTTAAGGAGAAGAACAAGATTAGTTTAAAGGGCTGTGTCTGGGAGGCAAGGGAAAATTGTCACTTACCAGATTAATAGATGGGGTTTGGGTTGGTATCTAGAGTTACAGATGAGTCCTACAATTTAGATCTGGTTAGCTGTTAAATCAGCAATTGCCTCCTTACCTGTTGCTGTAACTTTGTTCTGATCTATTTTCGGTCTCATCCAGCTCTTGCAGGAGAATCTATGCAGAGGGACAAGAACATCAACCTACCAAGTTGGTAAGGAAGATCATAGTAGGTCCTGTTACTGTCCCATCTTAAATTCTGTCCTAGGAAGGTGCAATGTCACAGGTAGAACTGGGCAAATAATGTAACCAACGTTCTGCAGATACTCATTCAAACTTTTAAATTATTTTGCTTCAGCCAGGTGAAGCAATGGAATGGGTTACCTTGGGAGGTGGTGAAATCTACATCCTTAGATGTTTTTAAGGCCCAGCTTGACAAAGCCCTGGCTGGGATGATTTAGTTGGGGTTGGTCCCGCTTTGAGCAGGGGGTTGGACTAGATGCCGTCCTGAAATCTCTTCCAACCCTAATCTTCTATGATTCTATACTCATGTCTCTTTAGCATTTGCTTTCTGCAGATATTCCAGGGATCAAGTTTACTACCAGGAATCTTTGACTAAAAGAGTGAACTTTAAGCAAATGTTGCAGAATTGTCACAGAAAGCACATTTTGAATTTGCAATCACGACCACTCCCCTCAGAAAAACACGGCAAAGGCCATACTCGTCCAGCCAAGGAATAGAAATGTACAAGGTGACCCACCTGTCCAATCAAAATAGCTAAAATTTTGAATTGTTGCAACAAATTGCTCATGCATAAGCTACAGACCAAGAGTTATCCACCAAAATTAGAAAATATTTGATGAACAATTTTTTAAAAAAACCCACCGATCTGGTCATGGAAGAAAGGCTAAAGTAACTAAACAAATGATTCAATAGGAATTGTTCACCCAGTTCCAGGTTCATTTGCTTCCCATGTTCTTGCAGCAACTACAGCCATCTAAAGAGTGACAGTGAGATAGAAAAGGATTCTGCTCTGTGGAGACTGGAGGTAGAATGTCTCAGATCTATGTCAGAGATGGTAATGAGCACTCCCAGACTTGCACCATGCACCCACCAGGATACACAACGCTGGATCCTTGGCAACACAGAACCTGGTCACCAAACCATGGTAAGGTCTAGGTCAGCTCTCAAGTCGCTAGGAAGCGCGCCAGATATCTGCGCTTGTAAACAAACCATGTCCCAGGGGCTCTCAGCCCAGCAGCCCGCAGGACCTCACATCATGTGAGAGATGCTGGAGAATTCAACAGGGAACATTTCCCCATAACTTTACTGAATTGCATCAGAGCACCCCACTGACCCATTTCCAACAAGAGAAATTGCAGAATGGAGACGCTCAGATTCACACGGGAAATAATTTGGTTACTTAGGTTCCTTGGCAACAGTATGTGTAAAACAGAACAGCAAGCCACAACAGGGTGCATGTGGAGGCTACTTCTGCACACATGTTGAGCGTGTAACTGGTTTCATACTATCAGCTGCCAGTAACTCGCTGATGTAGCCTCCACTGCGGCTTATTGCTTTTACCAGTCCACAGGGAATGTACCTTTCTATTGTAAGAAGCATGCACTAGGGACTAAACACTGTAGGCTCAATGCTCCACTCACCCCAGTGTAAATTCAGGGGGACTCTATTAAGATCAATGGGCAAGAGTCTCCCCAACAGTATGGGATCTTTGTCCTCCTCCGTCAGAGCAAAACTGCCCCAAAGTCAGCTGATCTCGCTATTGGAAGGTCATCCCAGCACAGGGGAATTGTTAGATGATGTCAAGCTTATACTGAAGTGTGCTTATATAGTGGCCCTGTAACAGCTCTCACCTGGCGGTCTGATTGGGGAGCATGGCCTAGTAGTCATGACTGCAACCCCTGACTGCCAAGGTCATTGTGGGGAGGGGAGCCCAGGCCCCTCCCACTCCACTGGGCTCCAACCCAGGGCCCAGGTTACAGTAGTCTAGCAACCAAAAATTAAGGCTGTCCCCCTGGAGCCTCTTCCCCTCCTGGGGTCAGCTTAGTTCCAGGCTTTCCCCTGGTGGGGAAATCCAAACCAAAATAAGTAAGAGGGGGTTACCAAGGTTCACAGGATACTTCCCTCTTGGGTTGTCTCTGGGGTGGGTCCTCCCTTTCCTCAGGGAGGACCCCATGGGCAGCTATGCCAGAGCCTTTTAGGCTGTGCCCTGCTGGAGCTGCGAGCTGCAGATCTGCTTACCTCTAGTTTGGGCACCCAAATAAACTAATTTGCTGTCTTTTAATTCCTCCAGCAGATGGAGCATTTTCCACAGGTGTGGCAGGGCGGGGCTGACTGAGCCCAAAATAATCCCTTAACCCCTTGTTGCCCAGTGTGGGGGTTTTACACCCCATCACAAGCTCTTATGTCAGTTTCCCCCCATCTCATTGGCATTTTTATCCACCTATGAATCACAATGGACTGGACTTTCCAAATCTTCCTGTGGAGTTTGCCTGAACAATACAGCAATTGTGCACACAAATTAGGTACATGCATGAGCAACAGTTGGATGCTTTGTGGAAGCAAGCGTAGTATGGCAAGCACAATTTAAGTGCAAAATCGTGCCTGCATTTTCACGTGTGCGCTGCCTGGAGGATTTAACCGTCAATCAGACCCACAGGGGGCAGGGACTTAGGGGTTCTTTGAGGATGGTGAGATTCTAGGCCCACCCTGCTGAGAACTGCTACATGGCTGTATCTTCACTCAGAAGGCCAGTCCACTCAGAATGTGGCAATGCGGGGGGATGGATAGAAATACCTGAGTCCTATGGGCAGATCCATATTTATTTAAGCTAGGTGTGTAAGAACCGATGCACAGGCCCTTTGCTGCGAATCAACCCCTTATGACCCAGGCCCAGCTGCCCTCCAAACACGTGTCTTTATTATACTCTGATATGAGGAAATTCCTTGCCTTTAAAATCTCTTGCAGCTTTTAACTGCCCATATCAGGTGGATGGGTCCCATGAGGATCACTCGTTTCCCGCCCAGCATCCCTCCCAACAGCAGCGCTTATAGTCTGATTAAGGTGAGCTCTGTAGTGCGTCTCTCTCTTTGTACCGAACTCAACTCCTCTTTGTCTCAGGAGGTTGAGGACAACGCAGCAGACGGCAGCCCAGAGTATATGGTTATAGATCTTCCTGCTGTCACTGACCAAACCCACATCCTTCCTAATTCCGTGAACCCTGGCAGCAGCTACAAGGAAATCCAGCCCCACAGTTGCGTAAGAAGAAAACGCAACAGCGGCAGTGAAGAGTTCAGGACTGCAGCTAATTTAATATCACCCACTCAGGGCTGGAGGAGTCTAACACTTACTGAGGGTATAGAAGGAGGTTTCTTCCTGGTGGGATGCTCCATTGCAGTGAGGGATGCGATCACCTTTAGCCCTGCAGTGAATACTTTGCAAAGCACTTGGACTGGTTCTTTGGATGTTAATATGCAGCCCCTGAGGTCTCTCTCAGAACAGCTTTCTCTTATGCTGCAGATGCCCCGTGTTCAGGGCTCCCCCCACCCCTCGCACTATAGACTCAGGCAATACGATCCTCGCCTGGACGTCATCTCTGAATTGTAAGGTGACCAGGTGTCCTGATTTTCTGAAGACAGCCCCATTTTTCAACAGTCTGCCCCAGAGGCACCGGGTTGGTACCACCACTGCCATGTCCCTGTAGGCAGCACCCCCAGGCTGTAGGAACAGGGCCTTTCCAGCACCACCAGGCCAGCAGCACTGGGGCCAGGCCAATGGTGGCACCAGCCCAGGAGGCAGTGCATTTGTACATGTGCTTCCAGGCTGGCGGATGGATGGGTCCATAGAGGTTCTCAGACAGAGCTCCTCACCACAGGATGTGAGGGTCCCGTTCCCATGCAGATTGATAAATCAAGGGCTGATTCTATTCCCCGCAGTCACTCCCTTTGAGTAGCACCTCATTCAGTGCATGGTCCCATTGAAATCAATCGGAGTAGCAAGGGACTATCTAGCATGGGTGTGGGTAGCAGACTCTAGTCCTAACTATGTCCTGCCAAGTGAGAGACCCTGGCTGCTGACCATGGTACCAAGAAGATGGCCCCCTGCCTCTAGGAACGGAGAAACACACTCTACAAATGAACGCACACACACAAAATATATTATTACACACACACCCCTGAATATTCCAATCTCCCAGCACTCTTAGGAGACGAGATGCAAAACAGAAGAACCCCCGGCTACAGAGCCGGTGTTTTAAATCCCCTGCGTTCTCTCCACGTTAGCTACTCCCTCTGAGCTCACTCAGCGGCAGGCCACTCCCAGACAGTGGGGCCTCAGGAGAGCTGAGAGATCTGATGCTCCAAGCCTCGTCTAGCACCGGGGAGCTTCTGGAGGATCTTCAAAGCTTTCACGCATTCTCTAAAACCAGAGAGAAAACAGAACGATGAGAGATTGGGATGGAAAGGAGGTCCCTCCCTTGGACCTCGATTAGCCCTCTACCCACACTGCGGAGATGTGTACCCTGCCTTTGGGCCACTCTTTTCATGTCCTTCATGTGTTCCCTGAAGCACCATGAACTTCTTCTGGGTTGGCATATGCCTTGCCCATTTCTTACCTAGCTCAATCCAGCTGAGTTTATTCTCATCAGTCCTGGTGCTTCACAGACCTGCCTCGCCACCCCAAAACAGGCAGAGGTGACCCGGAGAAGCGTTGCTGCAGAACTCCAGCAAATCAACCCCTGAGGCACCTCACCCCCCAAAATCTCAATCCACCTTGGTCATTACCTCTGATCCCTCAATCTGCACTGTACCTGGCTAGAGCCCCATCCGTCTGTTCCTTGAGCACCAGGGTTCTCAGCACATGCGTGTTGTTCATTCCCAGGGTGCAAAACGTCCTAATGACCTGCAGTGAGAAGTGACACGCACACAGGTGAGGCCTTTGCTCCTGGACACCAAGAACCACACACGTCGCTGGAGAACATCACTAACCTGGATGCGAACAGCCGGACTGCTGTCCACCTCCAGCATTTCCAGCAGGGTAAAGAACACTTGCTTCTTGCGAAGACCAAGGACCCCCTAGTGACAGGAGACGTGGAAGCAGAGCGTCACGGAGCATTTTGAAAGATCAAAATCCAGAGCGGTTTGAAAAAAGAATCTAACAACATGATGATTTGTTTCCAAAGCTGATTAGGCACCACCCTGTGGTTATAACTGGCACAAGTCTATAGTGCACAGTAACATTACACCAGGGCTATTTTAATGAGTGACTGTAATACTGGCGTGAGGCATGAGATGGCCAGCTCTGGGGACCAAAGTCTTCTGTTTGTTCCCAAAACAACTACAGCAAGGGCTGCATCTGTGCAAGATCCCCCACGTCGCTCCACCAATGCACCTCAGTCCTGACCAGGAATCACCTCCAGGGCTGAGGGGGTCAGCCTGTCTCCACATCCAGGCAATATTTGGACTTTGTCAATGTGGGGGACAGTTCTGGAAGCAGTCTAAGATGTGGACAGTGTCCAGCAGAAAAGGAACAGCCAGCCAACCAGCCATTGGACGGTAACAGCTTTCACTAGCCAGTCGCCTACCCTCAGGAAGCTCCACAATCCAACTGGCCATTTCCGGAGTCATTCAGCCTCGCTGTGGTCTGGCCGAGCTGCTCTGAAAGCAGACAGGCTGCAGGCCAAGAGAAGGAGGCGGCGATGTACCAAGAGATTAATACATAGCTCCCAAGTTAAAGGAAGTCACGTAGGGAAGGTGGAGCCCTAGTCTGAGGAACCTAAGAGAGAGGCAGAACAGACTGGACAGCAAGTAGAGAACGGATTGGAGCGGGAAACACAGGGCAGGTGGGGATCCAGCCCAGAGAGAGATCACACAGCCCACTCCATCACCCACACGCTGCCTCTAGCGTAATGCATGTCTCACACATCTAGTGGTTCAGGACAGAACGTGACTTACCAAGGAAACCACAGCCTGTCTTCGGCTCACCTCGCTCTTCTCCTTCAGCTGCCTGCCACGATGCACACAGCATTACCGGAGAGAAATGAGGCGATTTCTCCCCTCCCGCAGGGTTTAAAGGGAGGCACTCCCACTACGCTTTTGTCTTCTGCCTCCACTGTGAGGGGATGCAGGTCCCATCCTCTCTACATAAGGGACCACTGTGGGCCTTTAAAACCCTGGTTTTCCAGCCTATGCTGGCTACTCTTTAGATTATAGCGGAGAGTTAAAGGCCTGAGAAAGTCTGATCCTTTCCCCAGCCTTGTGCATGGAGGGGAAGAAATCCACTTAGCTGTCTCCAGCAATCTCAGCCCACTTTCTGTGGGGTTCCTGGGTCTGGGCCTTAGGTGGCTCCTTGCTTTGGGGTAGCCCCCAGTCTCTCTGGCAGCCACCCCCCTTCTGCCGAAGCTGTAGCCTTTCCTCGCACTGTTGTTAGCCAGGTAATTAGGAGCAGGTGAGGAGGTAGCTGCTCTGTACATTAAGCCCTTTAGGAGGAGATGCTTGGGAGGGGCATCTCTTTAATGTGGTCTCAGATCATCCAAAGTGAAACTTCCCCCAGTTTGGTGATACCCACCATGATTCAGGGATTTCCCCAGCCCCAAACCTGAGGGCTTGTGCTGTAACTCTGGGTGTGGCTAAATTTCACCGCACACCCACTGGGGAAAGAGGAAGATCCTGGGTAGAGGGCCAAGGCTGTCCCACCCAAGCGACCATGTCTGTGCCTTCCCTGGGCTTCTGCCTTGAAGTCCAGTCACCACTAGCCGCCATCTGGCCTGGAGGAAATGCTAAGCCTTGGAACCGTGAGAACCAGGAGAGAAGTGAATGAGCCAGTGAAAATTAGCCGAGCGGGCAGGTTCCTAAAGATGTGGGCCCAGGGAAAATATCCTGGAATCAAACCCAGACCACGCCAGCGGCCTTTGGGCTTTGTTCAGTGCGCATGGTGGGACAGAAGCAGTAGAGAACTGGGTCTCTGGCTCTTCTGCTGGGCACTTACTTCTCCACAATATCCCAGATTCGCCCCTTCATCTGCAGAGCTGCCGCAGTCATTGCCACAGTCTGTCTCACTACCTGTGAACGGGAGAGAAATGTGGGTCGGGAAAGAGATGCAGCGCAGGCTGCGGGGGGAACATTTCAGAGCCGGCGGCATAGTGAGGATGGGGCTGTGGGGGGTGTGTGCATGGGGGGGTCTTTATCGGTCAGCCTCAGCCCCAACAGCTTTTCAGTGTTTTGTTGACCCCACATAAATCCAGAGTGAAGAACAATAAGATCAAGACTAAGATTAGCCTGAACCAAAACCTGGCTTTGGGTTCTGGTGATCTGGATCCAAAACTCTTGGCTGGTCTCTGGCTAAACCCCAGATTCAAATACTGCTGGATTTTGGATCCTGACTGTGTCTTGGGCCCATGTTTAAATGGAAGTGAATTCACTAGCACATCTTCCATACTGATGGCCCATCAGAGACGGTGGTAGTTGGGGTAAAAGATCCATTAATATCCCTTTTTTGGAGCAGGGAAGGCCAAGGAGTGGATTCATGGCCCTGATGCGCTCTCTTGGAAAGGGAATCCGCTATTTCGTTTCATTGCGATTAAATCCTCCATGCCCCGACCCTCACCAGAAACGGCTCCTGGTGCAGCTTTTCCACCAGCAGCTGGAACACCTCCTCTTCCAAGCCTTCCCATCGGATCGGCTCCAGCCCAATGGTGCTCAGCAAATTGGCGGCATCGGCGCGATGCTGTGGGGAAGCAGCACGAAGAGAGTGCGCTGGGTCAGCCACTCGTAGGCCCTCGGTGTGACACAAGCAGGAAGTGTCTGTGTGCGTGTGTTGGGGAGGAGGGAAGAGCGGGAGGGGCTCTGTGTTACAAGTGAGGTCACCCCACGTCTCTCCAGGCTGCAGGAAGCAAGTGCCCAGACTAGGGATCCTTGCTGGCAGTGCCACCAGCCGGAGAGAGCATTGCTGTGCCTTTAGCCCAGAAGGGGAGGCTGAGGTGGTGCCATCCTAGGAAGAACTGAGGCCCACTCCAGGTGTCCCACTAAAATGAGAACCCAAGAGTCTCTCCGACTACAAAAGACTAGGAGATGTGGATGCTCCACTGGGCAATTAGGCACCAGGACAACAGCAACCAGATTTTAGGCATGACCCTTAGGGCACGTGGATAAAGATACATAGACACGGGGACAGCCAGAGCCATACCTGCTGGCCACTGGACACATGGCCAGAGTAACCAGGCTCCTATGGACACCTGGAGGCCGGCAGTGGGGCTCCTGAATACAGGGCCATGGAAATGGGTGGAGTGGGAGGGACTGGCAGAGGGTTGGCATTCCTGTCCGCACTCCCACAGAATACAGATGGTGGTAGCTTTGCCTCCTTACCTTGTACACTGGAGAATGGCGAAGCTGATCTATAAGGGCCTGGATGATATCGGCGCTGACTACATTCACGTGCTTCACTAGCATGAGCAAAGCCTGCAGGGGATCGGGAGAGAAGGGTCACAGACCCCAAGGAAGAATTTGGGCCCCATGTCTAAACCCGTGTATCAATAACACCCCCCCAAGTTTTGTACTCTGCACTGTAACAGATTCTCCCATCCGAAGCCGGGGCAACCATTGGCAAAGGGAGACCCGCTGGGAGGGGAGCGGCTGCACATCTGCAGAGAATGCAGAGAGGGGCGCAGCTGAGCAGATGTGCCTGTCTAGACAGACTGAGAGACTTCAAGGCAGTGGTGTCTCTGGATCACCATCCTAAACCAGGTCGTGGGTGAGGGAACAGTCTGGGACAACCCTGCCTCTGTTTTCATCTTCCCCAGGTAATGGAAACCAATGGGCAAAGCATCTGGGAAAGGTTCATGGGTGGTCCTGGAGTGGACTGAGGAGAGGATGGAGGACAGAGTCATCTGTGGTCAGGCAGGATCCGCACCTGCATTTTCTTCTTCATGTTCTCCTGGGTCAGGCACCTCAGCAGCGCCGCCTGGGCAGCGGGATTGGATGCATCCAGATACACCAAGCAGGTGGCTGCCAACAGGACCGAGTCATCTGTGCGGTCCTGTGAGGCTGCCAGCTGCTCCAGGGTCCCGATGAGCCTGGACTGGGCACCCACCACACTCCGCTGGGACAGAAAGGGAGAGCGGTGGTGTTGATTGTGTTTCATCTCATACTGGGGCTGGCGGTACTGGCACCTGGAAGAGGCAGAGCCTGAGCCCTTTGGTCCAGTTTCAGCAGGAGCCGTGACCTTGGATTCGGGCCCTGCAGCCCACGCGTGCAAAGCCACTGCCAGAGCAGCGAGGAGATCCTTTCGCTGAGTCGGGCTTCCCTTCTTCAGGTGTCTGATCAGTTCCTTCACCACGGCAGCATCCAGGCAACCTGCTCCAACACAGCACAAAAGCAGAAGGCAATGACCAACTCTGAACGCCAGAGCCCAGAGGGCTGGCAGCTCGCTGGGAATTGGGTGCCAGGGGTAAACGCAGCAGAACAGCGGGATGGCACACCGCTGATTGCTGCCCATGAGCCATCTGACACAGTAGGCTCTGGATGGCTCCTTGTGGAGGAATATTAAAAGGACCCAGGAGCAGGAAAAAGACAAGTGCCTCTCCAGCATGGGGTGGGGGGGGGCATTGTCTGTGGAGAGGGGCTTAGGCTTGAAGGCTAGAGGTAGACCAGGGAACCTGCCAGATTTTGGTGGATGCAGGCCTCTTTCATCCTCAGTCCAAGCCTGCCTGGCGGCATGGACCCCATTCCCTTGTATCACTTTCCTACAGAGATGGGCCCAGCGGCAGAGCGCCTTCAGACCGGATCCGAACGTGGTGGCTCAGACCTTTCTCTGTAATTAAACAGCAGCCACCAGACAGAGGAAACAGGCCTTCCTCAAGGCTGGCCGCTTTCACAATTCCCTGTCTGCGACAGGGGGAACTCTCGTCAGATGAGTCCCCCGCATGACCCCCTCGGGGATCCCCTCAAGGAGAAGAGCCATCATCCTGCACATTTCTTCCACACATACAGACTCCCCCCGCCCCTTCTGTGTTCTCCCTGCAGCCCTCCTTCCTGTCCCCCATCCATTCTATCCTTCCCTGGGTCCCTCCACCCATCTCCCCTGCCCCGTCACCACCTGGCCAGTTTCTACACACACATATTCCCCTCTGTGCTCCTGGCAAGCAAGGAGTTAAAAGCAGCGCGTCTTGTCCTGTCCTGGCTCTCTAAGGGCAGGAAGGGAGCAGCCCTGCTCTGAGCCCCCCACTGGCTCCCAGGTTATAGTCTCCGAGCCAGATCTGATCCCACAGAGCCATCCTGTGGTAAGGATGCATCAGCTCACTTCCCGGGCCCTGCTCTGATGTGCGTCTCTGCAGCCAGCACCGCCTCTCTCTCTGTAACACTGTAATGGAGAAATCCTCCCGTTCAGTCCCACAGGGCTACAAATGCTCCAGCCATAGGAGGGTGTGAGGGCAGGGACCCCGCCCTGTGCAACAGCACCAGGGGCTGTAACACAGACAGACAGGACTCATTCCGGACCGAATAAGAGCATCTGCAGCCTCCCCTCCCAACCCCCTGCAGAAGTTCTCCTAACCCACTCCAGCGGCGCTTCCCTCACCCGCTGACATCCTGCTCTCCGGCTTCCCCCTGTTACTAGCAGAAACTCTGCTATGGATCCTGCCCGATGACCCTTTGTACTGCACACCTCCCAAACCCTAGTCCACAGCTCTCCTCGCTCCCCCTAACAGGTACCACGGCATTCACACACCCCATCACTACACCTGCCTATTCACGTCTCCTGGAACAGACCTCTGGGAGCCAGAGACTGAGGGTATGTCTACACTACAGGATTAATCCGAATTTAGATAATTCGAATTTGGGAAACAGGTTGTATAAATTCGATTGTGCGCGGCCACACTAAGCACCTTAATTCGGTTTTTAACCACATTAATTCGGTGGTGTGCGGCCACACTACCCCATTAACTTAAACACAGTAATTCGGTGGTGTGCGGCCACACTAACCTTAATTCGAATTAACAAAATCGATTTAGGCGCTACTCCGCTCGTCGAGGTGGAGTACAGAAATCGATTTTAAGTGCCCTTTAATTCGAATTAACTGGCTCTGTAGTGTGGACGGGTGAAGGGTTAATTCGGATTAACGCAGCTAAATCCGAATTAAAGTCCTAGTGTAGACCAGGCCTGATACAATAGCAAGGATTCTACATGCATATAATGTAATTTATTTAGCCTAAGAAATGTTCCTGAGGTACTAAACCTCTCTTCCCTGGTCTCAGAGGTAAGGGCTAACTGGATGGAGAATATGTAGAGAGAAAGTGTAAGACATATTATGTTCTTTGGTGATGGCTAGTCACAACCAGCTTCTCTTTGCCGCTTGAGAATTTTGTGGCAGATCCACAAAAACAAAACACACACCCTTGTCCCAAATTCACATGTATACACCCCTATGCTTAATAAATACCACTTAATACTTACATAGTTGTTGTTATCTTCAAAGCACTGTATGGACAATAACTAATTAACAGGCACAACACCTCTGGGAGGGAAATGATATGCCCATTTTACAGATTGGAAAAAATGAGTCCAGGAATGATTTGCACAAAATCATACAAGGAGTCAATGATAGGATTAAAAAGGGTTCCTGGCTCTTGCCCTTGTGTTTAGGCAACTGCACCATTCTACCCCACATATTACAAAGAGACTCGTCTCTCCAGAGTGAAGGGTGAAATCAGAGTTCAATTATAAACCCAATTTTTACCCCCACTTCTCCAAACTCAGAGAGGGAAAGCACTGTTGGCTGAAAAACGTGGATGATCGGAGATAGGGCGGAGTAAAACTTTGTCCATGAAGGCCAAGTAATTTAATGAGATAATATTCAAGTTACAACTAGATGAAAATTAGTCTCTGCAAAATTGCATGAATATCTCGTGTTTCTTCAGCCCTGTAACTTCCTAACAGAAACGTTTACACGGCCGTTGTAGATCTCATTTCAATAACAGTTCACACTCGTTTTCCCTAGTGAAAAGGGCTGTTCAGAAATGTTGTCTAAAACAGTGGTATGACATAGGAAAGGCTGGGTGAGAAGGATCAATAATACAAGTGTTATGTGTTGTTCTATGGATACAGGGATGGAGCCGCAGTTGGTCTGAATCAGCTCCACCGGAGAGAGGCTGATTTCCACCTCCTGTATTCTCAACGCAGTAACAGGAAGATATATTAGTTACACAGCAGTATTAGGTACCAGACTGTTCTTTATGTGATGTCTACTTAATCTGATAATTAAAATGTTACCATTCTGCAGTTAGAAGAGGTGTGTGCGCAACAGAGCTTGAAGGGTATTGTTCTGGAGCTTGGTGCCAGGCAGCTGTAGTTGCTATAGAGACATTAGTGCCGTGTGTATGGAAACACGTCTTTGTTAAAAAGTTTCTCCCTGGAACTCAGACGCTGGAGTACTGTACTGTGTTTTTAGTGGCTACATTTTCGGGGTCAGTGTAGAATTAGAATGTTCACATGTCAGTGCATGTATGAACTATATGGGCTTTAGGGACCATAATAAAACATAGCTCAAACATATGGTTATAGTAGGGCAACACTCCAGGGCACAGTTAAGGTTGGGTGCCTTAACGGTGCATTTCTTTTACGTGTAACCACGACTGAATTTCCTGCGTTTGTAGTGCTTGGTTGCACAGTAAGTACCAGTTACATTCCTATAATATTTTATATCTTTAATTTACTGGCACATACTCTCAGCCTTAACTCCATCTTAATGTAGTTTGTTTTAATCTTGGAATTGCAGACCTTTGCAATAGGTAAGTGTTGCTGATTGGATTTAAGCGAACATTTCTTGGTGATAATGATTCCTGACATATTAGTTACTGTAACAACCTTAATTTTAAGTTACCTACGTTTTTTGCCTCGGTGCATTGGCCCTGTACTGTCTAATGATGTTGCTGTGCTCTGCAAGACACTTCACCGACATCACACACGCAGCTTCATTAGCATGCACAGCAAGTTAATAGGGCTGCGTTCCTTTGCATGGTTACATGTATGTATTACAGCCATTGAGTATTACACTGGAAAGCCTGAGACTGTGAAGACTGATGCTGTTAGAGGGAATGAAAGAGCAGGCAGATCTTCCTCTCGCTGTAGAGGGATTTACGCCCAGTAGGTGCCAACAGGCCAATACCACAGCGTCTGATCACCTTCCCTGATCCATGGGTCAGAGAGCTGGGAGCTGCTGCATTGACATGGAAAAGTGACTAGAAAAATCACTCACCAAATAAAACCAGGGTCCTAGTTACTTCATATCGCACAGGCTGACTCCTGCATACCAGGAGCTAGAAAGAACAGATCCCCTTAGCAGGCCGGACAAAAGCCACTTAGCACCACACTTCCTACCCCTGCAGTTCTAACCTTTTACACAAGTTTTCTATATTCGTTTGGGCATCAATATCCCAACGACTGAATCTCTCCCCACCCTAATAAATCTAGTCTCCGTGCCCTCGGGTCTGCTGTCTCCCTTTCCCTGATAAATCACTCTCCCGCGTTCCGAACCCTGGACTAATCTAGTCACCAGAGTGCAGCACGCGCACCAGCCTGGGAGATCCAGCGCCAGCTCAGGGATGCTGTGGAATAAGCGATGCTGGCTGAGCCATCTTCCTCCCCTCGGCCCTGACTTTCAGATCATCTCCTGCGCAGCGCGCCTCCCCTTCCCACCCCAGCCGCGACAGTCCCGTGACTTTGCAGTGCCACGAGTCCGCTCCTCCGACCCAGATCCCCATTACGGAGCGAGCAGCAGAGCGCATGTGAATGGCACTTTAGCCATGAGTCTGCTCTCAGGAGGAGGAAAAGGTCAGGCCCACTTCTTGGTAATGCAGCGACAGCGGGAGGCACTAAAGCTCATTATCAAACTCATTATTAAAAACACATTATAAAGAGAATGAAGGTCCCTATGGGTTATACCTACAGTGTTGCGAAGTGCAGACAGCACAAACTCATCAGTGATCCTGAGGCAGCCCAGGGCCTAAAGAGACAAACGGCAGAGACATAAATCTTCAGGTGGGAGCAATCATTAGAGACATCTGACCCAACTCCCCAGTGACACTCAGCCCAGCCCAGTGTAAAATCAGAGAGGACAGACAGTACGACAGCGGCCTTGAGATGAGCACACAGCAGACTGCAGTGCAGGGCTCTCAATAGCCCCAGGGGATGGGGAGTCAGGGGTCTCCTGGCAGTCATCGTGGGCGGCCTAGAAAGAAGCCTTGGGAGTGGGGTAACATTCATCAGTTACCAGGACCTTGGAGAATGCTTCTAAGGGTACGTCTACACGGCAATAAAAGACCCACAGCGTGGCTGCGGCTGGCTCAGGTCTGCTGACTGCAGCTCACAGGGCCCACATTGCAGGGCTACAAATTGCAATGTAGACATTTGGGCTCAGGCTGGATCCTGGGCTCTGAGACCTCACAAGGTGGGGGGTGTCTCAGAGCCTGGCTCCAGCCCGAGCCCTGCGAGCCCCAGCCGACGGACCTGGGCTCTGAGGGCGCGGCGCGGTGGGTGTTTTATTGCAGCGTGGACTTTCCCCAGGTAACTGCTGGGAGTTACTGCAGCTAAGCCACAATAAGACGAGTGTAGGGGGGATTCTGAGCATGGAAATAATATTGTTAGTGGGGATAACGATACTTCCTGGCCTTGCAGGGGGTAAGAGAGGTTATTTAATGCTTATGAAGGGCTGCCTTCTATGGATTGACGATTGACATATTGTTTGATTTGAGTCCTCCAGCCTGTCTTTGTGCCTGGGATTTCTCCTGCTAGCTGGGGGGAACCTAGCAATTGCCAGATCCTGATGGGTGAATGATCTTACGTGCTACTTGTAGGGCCACCAGAGGGATTCTCCCTGTCTCAGGGTTACCTGCACTGGCTAACTTCATTACAATGCAACCGGATCTATATTAACGGCACAAAGAAAGAATCCTGGGAGTTCCAGGGCTCTGCTCCGCGCTGATAAGGCCGCAGCTGGAGTATTGTGTCCAGTTCTGGGCACCACCTTTCAGGAAAGATGTGGACAAGTCAGAGAAAGTCCAGAGAAGAGCAACAACAATGATTAAAGGTCTAGAAAACATGACCTATGAGGGAAGATTGAAAAAATTGGTTTTGTTTAGTCCGGAGAAGAGATGACTGAGGGGGGACATGAAAACAGTTTTCAAGTACATAAAAGGTTGTTACAAGGAGGAGGGAGGTAAATTGTTCTCATTAGCCTCTGAGGATAGGACAAGAAGCAATGGGCTTAAATTGTAGCAAGGAAGGTTTAGGTTGAACATTAGGAAAAACTTCCTGTCAGGGTAGTTAAGCACTGGAACAAATTGCCTAGGGAGGTTGTGGAATCTCCATCCCTAGTGATTTTTAAGAGCAGGTTGGACAAACACCTGTCAGGGATGGTCTAGATAATACTTAGTCCTGCCATGAGTGCAGGGGACCAGCCTAGAAGAACTCTTGAGGTATCTTCCAGTTCTACACATCTATGATTCCCCCTCCGCCCCCACTGCCTGGAGGCTTGTGACTTGCTCCAGCCATGGCTTCTATCGGACTCAGCTGGAGCGGTTTATGAAACACGACTGAGGTTAGTTACATCCTAGACAGTGATGAACAAAGTCCTGTACGTCACCTGAGCAGCGTAGATTTGCTCTTGTTCCACAGAAGAAGCCAAACTCTCCGTGAGCTCCTGTGGGCACACAAAGGCAAGAGAGCTCTGATGTGTTGATGGATTCATAGCCCTCCTGCAAATGTTAGTTACATGTTGCAAAACATCTCATCCCTTCTTTGTGGAGTATCTGTACCCCGGGTGCAACATGGTCATTCGAACCACCAAGTACTAGTGGGGACTGGTAAGGAGAGGAAGGAAGGTCTGGTGGCTAAGACACGGGTCTGGAATAGGGAGACCTGGCTGGCACCCCTTTTTTAAACCATGATTTTTAGCTCCTGACCTTTATCCTTTCCAGCTGCAGCATCTTGATCCCAGGATCTGTGTCTTTCCATTTAAACTTCACTGGGTATAAACTGTGGATGGACTTTAGCAACTTAGAGAGGAGGAAATCGGGCCTGGCCACAGAGAAGAGGAGAAATCACAGGTTATTTCTCTGCTGAATTTCAAGCACATGTAACACCCGTTGTGTTTCACACCTGGCTTATGGAGTCATGGTATCTGGAGAATCCATGCAGCAGAAATCCATACCTGTCCTGGGTGCAGAGCTTCTAATTACATCCCATCTGACAAGTCCATGAACTTTGAATGGGATTAATTGTATTAGAGCAGTGACTGGAGGCTAAGATCAAGCCTCCGTTGTGCTAGGTGCTGTACATTCATATAATGATGAAAGAGTCCCTGCCCAAAGGTAAACAGCTGAGACAAAAAAATGAAGTCTTATTCCCCCTCCTGTCTGTAGAATGGGAGAGCGTCTCCCTCCGACATAGCTACTGCTGCTCGTTGAGGGTGGTTTAATTACGTTGATGGGAGAGCTCTCTCCCGTCGGCATAGAGCGGCTACATGAGAGATCTTACAGCGGCACAGCTACATCGGTACAGCTGTGCCTCTGTAAGCTCTCGAGTGTAGACATGGCCTAAATTAGGGGGCACATTTGACCGGACAAGTCTCCCGTTAACATCTGTTCCATTGCTAGAAGAGCCTTGGGATCTTTAACCCCCACAGGGATGTTGGCTTCACATCAGATCCAGCAGCAGCCCTCTGGATCCCCTTAACGCCAGGCTGGAGCAGGGGTGGAGTATTGACTCCGAAGGAAGAATGCTACCCACCAAGTTCTCCCACAGCACACCACAAGCCAGTCCCTAGAATGGTTCCAGCTGGTGAGGCACTAAGAACCCTGGGATACGGCCCCAGGAATGCTAGTGGCAAACTTGTGTCACTGCAACACCAGTGTAGGGCATGGGTATATGGGGTTTGGAGGGCGTGTGGCTCAGTCAGCAACGTGGAGTTTGGGAGGCAGTCACCCCTGCCAGTCAGGACGTAGGCGCACACTGCAGTGTAGATACACCCTAAGTCACTAACATCATATCCTGTGGTTCACAGCAGTTCCCTAGAGCACTGTTTCTCAACCTTTTTGATACCAGGGACTGGCTTGCTGCCTTCCTAAGCTGGGTGAGGGAGAGCTCAGGGACTGGCCTTGGACTGGGCATTGAGAAACCCTGCCCTAGGGGTCTCCTCTCTAAGTACAGACCCAGCCTAACTCTTCTTAGCTTGCGTGACCACATGGTAGAATGTGAAGCACACTGGAACCGCAAGGGGAAGTTAGACAGGCAGAATGTAACTGCTCAGGCTGGAATGGGTCCAGAGCACAGGGCAGATAGACTGAGCTCTGCAGGAAAGTTAAAACCTGCCATTGTGTCTCTTACTTTTTCTTCTCCATCATTGACTTCTTCCTTTGGGCCATAATCTGGTAGGCAGATCGCTGCCTCAGGCTAGCCAACCCGGGCTGCTCCACTATGGAAGGCTGGTTAAAGCCATGCTTGAGGGGACTTTTCCTCCACACGGATGGGGGAAGTGGGAGAATTTCACCAGGAGTCTGCAGTAGGAGAGAATGTTGTTTAATAAACCCCCAATCAATCTCAGCACCAGGATGACGAGTTGCATGAAAATGCCCAGTTGAGCCGTAGGAACAAAGCAAACAGCCCCAGTTGTCTGAAACGTATTTCACAGGCTGGTGCAACATTTCTGCAGCTGTGACTGTGGACTGGGGCTTTTAATACTTAGCGCTTTTATTAACTCCTTCGGCCTGAGGCTCTAAGAGCAATTTACAGACAATAACTAACTCTAACTCGCCCAATACCCTCGGGAGGGAATATGTTGTGCTCATTTTCATGGTGCCCCCTGCCCGGAATGCCATCTGGGGATCCTCTGGGCCTCTCAGCTTCATTCTCCTCCTTTAAATCCCTCATCAGGACTCGCTTTCTAAGTCAGTTTTTCCACACTGATCTCAAACGTGGGGTCAGTCACTCCTGCCTGCTGGCCAGAGTTTGCCCCCTTAAAATTATAAGCTTACATAGATATGCAGAGGGCTGAGTTTCATTGACTTCCAGTGGGACTACACCTCTTCCCACCCACTGAGGATTTGCCTTAGTGTCTCTACAAATCCTATACACCAACCACGGATATATATTTTAAAAGACACTACTCAGATGTAAACGTAACAGGTGCTCCGTTCCCATGGTGAAGAGCCGAGTGTAAATCACTAGACAGATACCAAAGCCTGCCTCGTGATCTTTTACTGTCATAGTCTGTCCTTCTCACCCGCCTCGCCCCGCACGCTCCTTCTGTTTGTCCTCCCTTGCTGTGTTAAGTCTACCCAGACTGTAAGCTTCTCGGGGTAAAAATGTCTCTTTTCTCCATCTGTGACACACTGGACACTTGTGATGCTTTAGAAATAATACCAGGTTTTAGGTACAGGTAAACTGAGGCACAAAGCGGATAAATAACATGCTCACAGTCACTCAGCAAGTCAATGGCAAGGGCAGGAATGGAACTCGGGAGTCCCGTCAGTCCCTCTAATCGAACAAGTACGTGTCCATGGTGTTACCACTGCATGGGAGAAAACAAGACTCACTGGCACACTAGTCTTTTCTCCAGTATTTTGCTCCAGCCCGCACCAGGAGGGAAGCCTGAGAACTCTTCCCATGGGTAGGGAAGGAACTTTAGGAAGAGACCCACGACTGAGGCCAATTCCCTTCTCTGCAACCATGAGATCTGAGCGGGCACCAAGAGCAGCAACAAGGACCATACCTGGTGGCAGGAGGGCTTTGATACCCTGAACTCCAGCTCCTTCTTGTCAGCTGAGAAAAGGAAAAATATTAAATTACCAGGATAGCGACTGGATGTTGGGCTCTTCCCACCCCACCCCCCATCAAGACTGATCACATGACTTCCTGGTCCTCAAGTCCTCACCTGCTCCAGCCTAATGTAGCTAATCCCCATAGTAAGTGACAAAGGTACACATTACATGAAGTAGCAAATACACTTGTGCTAAGACTAGCATGTGAAAGACCACACTGGTTCTCTCCATCCCTGGCAGAGCCCAGCCCTGGGAATTTACTCCTCATCTTTGTTTAGTATCTATACAGGGGAAATCCAGCACCTCTTCACAGAACAAGCCTGGGTCTCATCCATGCTCTTTCCCCAACAGTGTAATTCACCTGTTGTCTCTTCTTGCTCAGTCATGGGGCTCCAGGACATTCCTAAGCTACCGGCACCTTGAAGCCTCTTTAAGGGCATCTTTTTACCCCCCATTTCTAATCCTCCCTGGGCGCCTCAAAGCAGCTCCAGAGAAATCCCTGCCATTGATCTAGTCAGCCATAGGCTTATGCTGCGGGAGAGGCAACTGATGGACAGAGATGCAGTGACGGGACCCCATAATGCTGCTGGGGATTCACTTCCGGGCAAGATTCCCAGGAGATGGCCTTAGGATGATGTCATAAGAAGTGGTGACGATGACATCATCACATTCCTCCACCTCTTTAGTCTCATCCAGCAAGGTCGCTTCCAGGCACCATGCAGGCAAAAGATGTAGGCAAGTAATAGCAGCTACGAGAGAGAGAGAGAGAGCACAGATCCTAAATAACTAGGGGTCAAGGAGCAGTCAAAGCAAGAGGAGGCAGGCATGGTACCAGTAGGATTTTGATACTCATTATATGGGATGTGTTCTCACAGCTCCCATTGTCATTTGCCAGTATGACGGCGGTCTAATACAATGGTATCTATAGAAATAGAAATATAGAATATAGAAATTTAGAGGCATCACTCTCTAGGAATTACACATGGGACTATAAGCCCCTGAATTCTAACCTCTTGGGCAAGTCGCTGCACCTCTCTGCGACTGTGTGTAAAAGGGGAATAATGGGCCATGAAAAGCAAGTTCTAACAGCATTTCTCTGTTTGTATTGCAACAACTTTGGAATGCCAAAGCTGATCGATTCCAAAATGTCAGGGAATGTGGTAGGCATCAGTGGGGACAAACCTATTGATCTGAGTGCAAATCAGAGTGCTGGAAAAGCCTGATTCACAGGCAAATCAGGGCCCCCAGACAGCTTGGTTCTGCAGGCAGAGGAATCTCTGCTGCCCCCTGCTGCTGCCTACATATTCAGAGGCAGCAGTTTAACTTGTGGCATGGGGAGATTAATCTGTTGCTTGAACTCTAACAGAAATCAGGGAGCTTTACAAGGAGGATTTGTAGCCTTTTCTACCCACTTTGCACTTGCTTTGTGCTGGTGCAAATTACTGCATTAGAGGGGCGGGGCAGCAGAGGATCAGGCCCCCCGTCTGTAACAAAGCCAGCTTCTCATGCATGCTTTCACCAGCCCCATCACTGCACCCCCTCACAGTAGGAGCCAGCAGCCTCCCTCGCCCTAATCAGGATACTCATTGGCCCTCTCCTGACTCAGCTTCCCCCAGGTCAGAGCCTTCCCCCAGTCTGTGTCTCTCCAAGGGGCTAATTGAGGGCGGTGAGTCCCCAGCCTACTGCTCCGGCTCTGAAGCAAAGCAGAGTATTGGCACAGTACAGAGGAAAGCACACGGTGAAGTTGGATAAACAAGAACAGGCCTAACATGGGCTCCGATCCAGTTCCCGTGGAAGTCAGGGGTGGGGGAAGCTACAAGTGACTCCAATAGGCCCGGACGTGGGCTGTGGAAACACCCTTAAGACTGCCCCCAACCTGTGTCACAGAATATTGCTTAAGAAACCTGAACACCTTAGATAAGAGCGTCTCCTCTTTGGAGCTCCCAGCTGGGGTCGTGAGCCTCACGTCCCAGGCTGCGTCGCAAACCCCCTGGATGTCTCTCTGCATTCATCCAAGCTCTCTCCCAGTCCCAGGGAAGAGAGTTCTTTGTTTGCCCAGCAACCCAGCTGGGCTCCTGAGGTGACTGGTTACACGTTACATCATCTCTCCCAGAGCAGCTCAGTCTGACCTGTGCTTTACCATCCTCTACCTCCCCTGGAAATAGCTCCTTCCAAAGGGGTTCTCTTAACGGCACTCTTCCTCCCACCACAGGTGGGCAGTTTCCCTCCCCCCAGCCTGGCTTCTAGGGTCTTAACAACCCTCCAATAACACCTTTGAGACTGGCTTTTGTTTGACATAATTATTCTCAAACCAAGCTTGTCTGGGCTTGTCTGCGACAGCCTGCTGCTGCAGGATACCAGAGAAGCATAACCATAAATCAGCAAGTATTTGTAAGCAGGAGGACAGGTCTGTCAGCATAATGAAAGCAGTACCCTAGAGCAATGATCCACCCCAGTAATTCTCATGGGGAAAAGAGGCCCACCCGCTGATGGTGGAAAGATATGGGGGTTAAATCCAAGCTGTCCATGTGCACCTGAATAAATCAGCTGCAGCGGAGATTACTTGGAATCAAATCCTTTAAGGTGCTGGGGGCTCTTTTCAGAAACAAAGCAACAGGTGTCTGCTAATCGGAATGGAGGTGAGGGAGTGCTGGGAACATGAGCTGTGCGCTGGTGCAGCATATCCTTGTTTGCTGTTTACAGACTGTTAAATTGTACAAAGGGCTTGCGATGAGAGATTTTGCTGCTTTATGTAACACTGGGTATAATAGAAAAGGAAAGTGTGGTAAGTAAACCTGAAACCCCAGGGAGGGTTTGGTTCTTGTTTAATGTGGGCCAGACTTATCAGCGCTCTGCTCCCGCAACTGGGACTAGCTTTGCAACAGCTCTTGGCTTCTGTCGTTGGGCCCCATCCTTTCTGAGTGCACCCTGCTAGGTCTTGGGCCCTGAGTCTGCCTTTCTGGGGCAGAATCCTGTGATTCTCACATTCAGACTGGGCCCAGCCCCCTGTGTAGGGACTGTGATTGCTCAGCAGGTCCGAATGGGTTTGGCTACCTGTGGCTCTTCCCCTTTGGGAGCTGTGACCCAAAACAGCCTTCTTAACGCAACATAGGGTTTAATCTTAACAGTGGCAGCACAGCATAACACGAGAAAAGGGCTTTTTAAAACAATAGAAGTCTATCTGCATCTCTTACCTAAAGGTTTAGGTAGGCTTATTTTACTCCTGGCCTTTAAAGTCTGGGGGACAGACTGCTCCCCAATGGCCTGACTCAGTTTCCCCATTAATTGCCTGCCCTTCTCAAGAGAGGGTCTGTATCTTTAAACCCTTGTGAGGCTTTTCATCCTCTTCCCCGTGCCTCACAAGGGTTGAACTCTCCTGGGGAAAGTTTATCTGGCAGGCCGTGTAGGGGACCAACGTGAATCTCTTCATTGTTTGCCAAGAGCTGTGAATATCAGGCACCATCTCACTTCCTGGGGACATTTCCTGGAAAACCTGACAGGGAATTAACACAATGCATACAGTAAACAACAAGCACCCAAATCAGATGCAGGATTCATCACGTATAGCCAGCTCCAAATCTATCACATTCTCAATAGCCAGTGTGCATGTAGATTTTTTTCCCCCCAGTGATCTTGTACCCGCCCAGTAAGTTGTTCATGGGCCAAGTACTCTTGTATTTTGAGCAGACAGCAGAGGAAAGTGAATGCCAAGGTCGGAAACCATGGTGGAGATGCTTGAATGTCTTGCTATCTAATATGCTTATCACCATAGCATCTAGGCTGCAATGTGCAAATAAGGCCAGACCAAGCAGAACTAAATACGCAGCAAGCAGAGGGTGCTGGTATGCAAAGGGGATTGTTGCAAGAATCCAGTCCCAAGTCGATGCTCCATTCACTTCTGATCCCTACACTCCCTGCTTCTCTAATGCACAGTGCAAACAGGGTCAATGGCTGTAGGAGGGCTGTTACACACTTTAACAAGTGGTATATTGGGTTCCTTAGAGACATGAAGACTGCATCATTTTATGCTCTGGGCTTCTTCTCCTGTGGAGGGTGTAGTGCTCTGCCTCTTCCCTGACGTCATGTCTGCCCCTTTTGTCTTGAAGCCATCCTGCTGTGGACTCAGACACTGTGAGCCAAATCCTGCTTGCGTCTACATCAACGTAAACGGGGAGTTAATGCCACTGAAGTCAGTGAAGTAACGCTGGTGTAAAGGTGATGGGACTGAGAGAAGAATCCAGCCCACTGGATCTAAACTCTGTGATTTGTTCTATGTTGTACACGCTGCTTCTCATGACTATTTCTGTGGGTTTTGGCCATTTGCACATTTTTCTGCAAAAGGTTGTGATAGGGTTTTGTGACTTTTCAAAATTAATTGCCACTAGCTGGGCATCTTGCTGAACTAAAGTTCAGTAGGTTCATTAGCTAATTCCCTAAAGGGCTTGGGTATGCTTCTTAGACAGATGTGCTGATTGGTAGATACTCAATTTTTCCAATTATTCCCTTACGTGCTGTTCATCAACACCTCCTCTGACACAGTCTTCATTACTCCTGTGCTTTATTTCTCCTGTTAAGGAACAACTTTGACAAAGCCTCTTGCAGCATTTGGCCTCAGAGCGGTTGAGGACCAATCCATGCCCTGCTAAGTAAAAGCTCATGGGAGATCTACCCATACTAGAAATGTTCGCTTCAGGAGTTTCTGACAGATTGTTCCAGCAAGGAGCAGAATCTGGAATGGAACCAGGAATTTGACTCCCAGACCCCTGATCTAACCTGCAGTCAACACTGTTGTTCATTGGTCATTATTACTTTGGAGAGAGAGAGTGGCCCTCCAACCCCACAAGTATCCCAAGATCTGCAGAAAAATCCCATAACTCTCAGGCCACCAATCTGGGGTTGGAAAATCCATGCAGAGGACCCATCCCTCTATGTTAGTTCTTATTTGCCTCCTCCCCTGGCAGCATAGCTCCCTTAGGAGCCAAATTCGCATTGCCCCTCACCCAGGAGTGTGAGTGTGTGTGTGTACCCAGAGGGGGTAGAAGGCATAGAGTAGGTTTGCAAGGAAGTAAGGGCTGCCAATGTCAGCAATGGGTGAAGAAGTGCACAGGTACTGCCCTGGGATGGCAGGGAGGGGGATGATACCATATACAGCAGCTCCATCCCCCTCCGAACCCATTGCTCCTATAAAGAAGCTCCCTCTGCTTCATGGGGGAAATGCTGCTGCTCCGGTTTCTCTCTCCATGTTACATAATCACCAGCCAATTTTGGCCGTTACCCGGACCCGTTTCATCCTCCGAGGGCCTAAAAGTAGAGGGGATGATTCCGCTTTAAGATTTCTACTGATCTGTGAAAATCCATGTTACTCTGGGCTTTTTATTCCAATCACAGATAACTGTATGTGTTGATGTGTAGCGTGTTTCCCATATAAAAATGGAAGAGCCGTCCTCCTGAGAAG